GTCCTGGCTTCACTGAGTTACGCAAGCCCCTTCGCCACGACAAGGCAGTGATCCATGAAGGGGGGGATTGTGCTGCAGTTGCACAATTCCAGGAAAAATGGTCACTGCTTTAAGGAGTTGCAGGCTGCTGTTACATGTGCATCCCTGCACATTCTGAAGCTCTTTTTTCCCTTCAGCTGGAAAGTGCCACATAGCCCTGTGACGCTCCTCCTGCATAAATTGTCATGTTTTAAAAAAAAATTTTTTTTTGGGTTCATTTTCTTAAACATAACAGTAAAAAAATGCAAAACATATGAATGCATTTGAACAAGAATATATATAAAAATCTTGATAGGAAGATACCCGATATAAATGTGTAAGAAAACTAAAATTGAAAAAAATATTTCTTTTTGCCCTACCTACCTGCAGTGCAGAAGTAATGTTTACGCCTCCTTGTCAATGGAAAGGAACAATTGGACAATATGATTCTGTAAGGCCAGCGTTCAATTTCTTGTTTAAGAATTGACTTGTATAAAGATGCATAAATTTTCTTGGGGGAGAGCCTACTTCATCCAGTGCTTCTCTGGTTAAAGAGGACTAGAGGCATAATCCAATTTCACTTTTAATAGCTGGAGGTCCATCTATTGTATTATTTATTTCTTTGTTTACATTGTGAACCTTTTCTCCTTACGCTCTTGAGTAAATTTTATAGAACTAGGGATCTTTATATTCTTTTCTTCACAAAGATAAATTTGAGGCACTTCATGAGCTTTTCATTATACTGAAGGGATTCCTTGGGCAAGAGGGAAAATTGGGGTACAAAATTATTATTTTGAAGGTTTTACTTAGGCTAGAGGAAAATTGGGGTACAACATGGAATTGACAACGTAACCAAGCCAAAAGAAAGAAAAACACACTTCGGTGAAGTCTTCGTGGTATTCAGTCACTTTCCCAAAGAGGGTAGTGTTGCTTTTTTAAAATACATGTTTGTAGAGACAAACGTAATAGCTAAGATTATCCAATTAAAGTTATTTTTCAGGATGGTGTTTTGGGTAAAGGAGGCTTTGTAGGCAGCAAGATGTCCTTCAGATATAAAAGGAAGGAAGCCCTTTGAGGTGCATTGTGTGAGGGTGGTGGGGGCCATGATTCCTTGATTCCCATGCTGATTTTGCTGTGCCTTGAGTAACTAGGGAATGACTAGATCCAGAAATACTGAAGATATAGCTGATTTTAAAGACAGTTAAGCTGAAGAATACAGCCAAGGAGAGGGAGGGAGAGAGAGAGGCAGAAATAAAACAGTATGTAATTAATAGCCTTTTTCCAGAAGCAGCTCAAAGATCAATGCATTCTTTCAAGAGTATCAAGGGTTTCCTAGATAGCTGTTGCTCTAAGTTGAGATGAGCGTTCTGTGCATTTGGAAATCAACTGCAGTAAAACAAACCTTGCGTGATTATATGATGCAGCTCTCTGTGCCTCTGGTTCTTTCCTAGAGGGAGTTCTAATTTCATTTTTGCTGTGACCAAATTATCCATTATGATTTTCTTCTATGAAAGGCCACTGATATTATTCAATACCACCCTGCCTCTTAGTGCTCCTTCCATATATTTATTGAAGCTTTTTGTTTCTTGCCTGCTTCTGGTCATTATATCACGGTGATTATATTTGGCATTCACATCTGTGTTTTGTATTTTTCTCCTTGAGCTGCCAAGCCTCCGCTTGAGCGATTTCTAAGTAAAATTAAATCAGGCTTCCAAATTGGCCCTAAACATTTTTAAAACTTACATTAGGAATGCTGTGCCTGGAGTGACCCTGTTTTTTCTTTTTTTCCTTTAAAATCAGTTATTTTTATTTGTATCCCTGCAGCAGCTTCTTTATTCCATAAGATGTCAGTGTTGCTCTGTTTGATCAGAACCAGAAATATTCTTATAGCTGAGAGAGCTTGCTCAAGGAAGCCAAGAAAAAAAAAATCAATTTGAGATATCCTGAATTCATTGATTTGGGATACTTTGTAGTCACTTCTGGTTGGTACAGTGTTGAAAAGGGTGGATGTCAAGGATAGACTGGGGAAACAAAGCTTGGTTTGGATCTCTGGTTGGGGTTTCATATGCAGACAGAAATTGATCATGGGATCTCTCTCTCTCTCTCTCACACACAGAGAAACACACATATTCTTACTTTCTCTCTTTAACTGATGTTAGACAGAGATAAAATCATTGTTTTAAAAATAGGATATAGATATAGTAAATAAATAAAAGTAGAGAACCCCATACTCTCATAAGAAAGAGGCATCAAACAGAACTTTGGAGGTCCTCTTAATCTTGGAAGAATGCCTAATTAGTTAATCAGAAAGCATATCTGACTAGTAGCTCAACTTCCAGGTGTCTTTTGAAGAGCATTTATTGCATTCTTAAAAATATACCTCTCCACCAACATAATGCAAGATCTATTTCTAAAATTCTATTTTAAGATCAGCTCATTTGGTAGTGTTAAAGTTGAAATATGATCCTGTAAAAAACCTGAACGCTTCTAGTTCGGTTGTATAAGGTAGTCCTTGTTTAGCAACCACAATTGGGACCGGCAGCTTGGTCATTAAGTGAAGTGGTCACTAAGCGAAACCACGACTGTGCTTACAATCTTACTTCAGCTTTCCTTGGCTTTGCAGACCTGGCAAGGTTGCAAAGTTACTTTTTCATCACCATTGTTACTGCAAGTGGTTGCTGTATGAGGCAGTCACTAAATGAGGACTACCTGTATTTCCAAGCATGGGTGACAAAAGCTGCCCTTGCAACTGAGGGAAGTCTTTGTACATGATGATTTCAAGAGTGTAGTTTTGCAGCGTGGAGCAGATGCATTGTGACATAGGACAATACAATAAGAACCTTGAAGGGATTACATTTCAGCAATAGTTGGTTGCAAATTTGGTCTTAAGCATCTCCACATAGGACCAGAAAATACATTTGAGTGAAACCTTGGAGGAAGAGTGGGTATTTGTAACCTTCTAAATATTGCTGAATTACAATTCCTGGTATGGCTCTCATGCTAGCTGCATGTGCAGGGGGTTCTAGTTTAGCATCATCTGAAGGGGCCCAGGTTCCCTCACCTGCCTTAAAGACTCACAGTCAATCCACCATAGTCCAGTGGATTTTATTTCAAGAATAGCAAACAAACCAAAGTTTTCTTGGCCTGCAATGGGCTGAAATTTAATAGGTAGTATTCATCCAGTAACAAAATCTGTCTGAGGGACTATCCTATAATGCAGGGTTCCTCAGTCTTGGCAACTTTAAGACGGGTGGGCTTC